TATGTAAATAATTTATAAACCTCTACTGTATCTATTAGCACAAAATGCCATAAACATGTGGCAGCTATCCACTCACTCAGATTAGCACAGAAAGAAAAACTAGCTTATTCAGATCTTCTCTCCACAGTGTTCCCTCTTGTCCCAGCCCAAGCAGTGAAGCAGAACACCCCACATATTCCGATCCATCTACTTTGCCCTTTCTAATGTTCAAATTGACTGAATAGCTATCAGATCTTCATTACACACTGCTTTCCACAGATGGCCTTTTTGATAAGTCTCAACCTAAAAAAATTACTAAGGGAAATGAGGAAATCAGAAAATGATAAATACAAGAAATGTAAGACTTGGCTTATTGATACCTTCCTCCTTTTCGTATCAGCTGTATTTGTGGCAGAAAGCCATCATGATCTGCTATCTGAATATATTGTCAAGCTAGTAATTCTGAATATGTTGTTAAGCTTGTAAAATGTTCTGAGTAGGCCACATCTTCAGTAATTTCCACAAGTTTACAATTTTTCAGGTAAAGCTATAATTTAATGCATTAAAACAAATTCATTTTTTCAATGTAGTAAGAGCTGCTTCTTAGTTCTAATACTCTGAAACTTTCATGAAACTATCCTTTTTAGAACTCATACTATAATGTGGGCTCTTTCATGTTGTTTAACTTCTTCGGATCTTGAGATGCAGTGTTATTCTAGATGCAGCATTACTCACAGTGGACTTAGTCCTTAAATTAGCATAATTTCTATTTCATTTCCTACATATTGTTCTGGATATGAAATCTTTTGAAAATGCAAATATTTTTTGTTGCAGCACACACATACATACCGTCCACAGAAACCTTGTCTTAGTTTGTTTAGTGTTGCTATAAAGGAATACCTGAGACTGGGTCATTTATAAAGAAAAAAGATTATTTGGCTCCTAATTTTCGATGGCTGGAAAGTTCAAGATTGGGCTTTTGCATCTGGTGAGGGCCTCAGGCTGCTTCCACTCATGGAAGCTGGTATGTGATCAGCTTCACATGCAAGAGAGGAAGCAAGGGTCAGGAAGAGATGCCAGGCTCTTTTTTTTTTTTTTTTTTTTTTAATGGTGAAAAGATATACATGTATTTAGAATTAGCCAGCCGGACTCTGTTTAGATGATTTCAATTTTGTTGGCAACATCCAAAGCATCATAATCAGGAGCCAGTCGAACATATGCCTTCTTCTCTCCATCAGGCCGAATCAGGGTGTTGACCTTGGCCACGTCAATGTCACAGAGCTTCTTCACAGCCTGTTGGATCTGGTGCTTGTTGGCTTTAACATCCACAATGAACACAAGTGTGTTGTTGTCTTCTATCTTCTTCATGGCAGACTCAGTGGTCGGCGGAAACTTGATGATAGCATGGTGGTCCAGTTTGTTTCTCCCGGGGGCGCTCTTCCGAGGATATTTGGGCTGCCTCCGGAGTCGCAGTGTCTTGGGCCGCCGGAAGGTGGGTGACGTGCGGATCTTTTTTGGTGGCTGTGGACACCTTTCAACACTGCCTTCTTGGCCTTTAAAGCTTTCACTGTGGCTTCGGCTTTAGGTGGGGCAGGAGCTTCCTTCTTCGCTTTTGGCGCCATCTTGTGAAAAGGGCCAGGCTCTTTTTAACAACCAGCTCTTTTGGGATTTAATAGAGAGCTCACTCTCCCTTAAGGGAAAGCATTAATCTATTCATAAGGGACCCACCCCCATGATCCAAACACCTTCCACTGGGCCCCACCTTCCACCACCACCACACTGGGAATCAAATTTCAACGAGATTTGCAGGAGAAGGGACAAACCAACCATATTAAAACCATAGCAACCCTGCCAAAAATAACAGCAAAGAAAAAACTGGCTACAAACTCACAATTTGTCCTAGCTCTAGAAATTCTAATAAAAGGCAAAAGATACATGATCTGAAGAGAATTCAGAGTATCTCCAATGCAGACTTGTAATTTTATAATCTTAAATTATGTGATTTATATGATATTCTTATTTCCTTTTCTCTCTAAGCTATAACTCCGTGTCTCAGGTGGGACTCTCAGGGAGCAGACTCAGGAGACAGTGGGCAGCAGGTTTATTAGGGAATGCTTTGTGATCATCATCCATGGAAGGAATGGGAAGAAATCGGGATTGGGTAGGAGGAGGACTTGCGCTGTGATACAGTCTCCACAGTGTTCTCAGCTGACTCTGTGGGAAGCTCTGAAGCTGGTTGGCCCTTTCGGTGTCCCAAATTGGAGCAAGAAGGTCAGGACTTTGTTCCCCAGTCACTGGATGCAGGCAACCCAAAGATGGCTGTGACTTTGGATGCAGTGGCACTCTCAGCTGGTCTCAGTGACTTATCTGGTGATAAAACTCAGCCCTTGATCCTTAGAGGCTCAGAGTCCCTGGTCCCCATAATCTTTTTAGGCTGATAATGGCTACTACACTTGTCCATTTACAATCAAAATTGGGCAAGAGCATAGCAAGAGGTGCCTAAGTGCACTGCTTGAGTACCAACATTTTCCTCCTTCCTCCAACTATGTAACTGTGGTACTATGTCCTCTTTATGATCAAATCTATTATACCTGCCAGGACCTGACTCCTCTTTTTGCCTGCTGCTTTCTTGGTGCAAGGAACCTGAACTACCTAGTCAGCAGATATAGCTTATAGTTCAATGAGACCGATGAGTCTCTTCTTGGGTCTCACTGAACCATAAACTACATCTGCTGGTGGAGGTGTTTCACCTTTAGCAGGACCTCTAAATGACAGGGCCCAGTGTTGTGGAGCCAGGAAGCACACTTTCCCCCAAGAGAATCACTGGGAATGATAGTAAACAGGGCCATTCCTGCTACTACCCCTTGATTCTTGGACCCATATATTCTACCTATTGAGAACACAGCCCTGTATAAAGACCATTAACGTGTACACTTCATTTTAAAGGATGGTGTTTGTGTTAGGTATGCCTTCAACAAGCTATTTAATCATTCTATCAGGGTAGAGGTTTGGGTGAAGCAGCTTGTAATATGACAAGCAGAGGCTGTGGTCATTTGCCCACTCTCTTCCCTCCTTTGCTATAAAACAGGTCGCGTGAGGTAACTCAAGCACTCTGAAAGCCCTCAGTGATGCTGGCTGATGCCCTGCAGATAGAAAAGGAGAATCATCTACAATATGTGTCTATTCCTGTCGAAATGAGTCACTGCCTCTTGCTAGGATCATTATTGTAAGCTATGATCATTATTGTAAGTCAGCTTGCCACCAAGTGACTGATTGGTCTTCTTGAGGAATAGGCACTCAGCATTGCAGCATTGGTTCTCTGTTGTTAGTAGGCTGAAAATTCAGCAGTGAATATAACTACATCAGCCTCAGTGTATCGAAGCCCATCCTGTTAGGTCTGTTACATAGCCACCAATCCTGCCACAGTAGTTAGTTATTCCAATGCTAGATGCTGGATTTTTTCTATTATGGACACTTTGTGGTATAGATCAAGTGCAGTACAAAGCTCCTAACACTTTGTGCCCACTCTCATGTGCCCATCCACCATTTTTATCTCAAATCTCTTCGTTCCCAGTAATGTGGTCTATTTTCAGGCCCCTGATCTCATGGCCAAGCCAGTTGCCACTGCCCATGTATATTCCAACCTTGAGCCCCTTTCTCCACAAATGGATGGCAAAGTATACTGCCTGAAAGTCTGCCCTTTGGGAGGATTTTTCCTTACCGTTGACTTTCAAGGCCACCCCTAACAGAGTAATACAGACACCATCTATTTTCAGTTTGCCAAAATATAAACATGTGAGTCAAGTTCATGCATTTTCCTCTTTCGTCAACTGGTCATATGGGATCAGTGACTATAGATATAAGCCAAGGGAGAAACACCAGTGCAACAGTGGCAGATGACATGGGAGTCTAGGCTGCTTGCTAATGCAGTATACTGTGCCCTCTGCCTATGTTTGTGTTCTGCATGTATAGAACCCAGCTCATGATCAGTGGTCTTGGCTGCATGGCCACTTGGCATCCCTTTGTCAGGTGCTGTATCTCTATAATAAAGCCCAGTAGCATATCAGCAGCTGTTTGACTAATTGTATTGGTTAAGAGCTTTAACAGAGGGCTAAACAAAGTGGTGTTAGAGAATACACGTGATGGTCCAAGAAAATCCCTAACTCCCTAGAAAATCCAGACACTCTGAGAGGTGACATTTGAAAAGTGTAAGAATCCTGCCGGGCGCGGTCGCTCAAGCCTGTAATCCCAGCACTTTGGGACGCCAAGGCGGGTGGATCACGAGGTCAAGAGATTGAGACCATCCTGGTCAACATGGTGAAACCCCGTCTCTACTAAAAATACAAAAAATTAGCTGGGCATAGTGGCGCGTGCCTGTAATCCCAGCTACTCAGGAGGCTGAGGCAGGAGAATTGCTTGAAGCCAGGAGGCGGAGGTCGCCGTGAGTCGAGATCGCCCCATTGCACTCCAGCCTGGGTAACAAGAGCGAAACCCCGCCTCAAAAAAAAAAAAAAAAAAAAAAAGAATGCATGTTCCTCCAGAGCCAGAAGCAGGAAAAGCAGAGGCAGCAGCAAGTTTATCTTCTGGGCACCTTATCCTGAGACCTCATTTTATCAATACATACGGACTGTCTACAACCAAGTGATATTACCCTTTTCTTCCACTGCCTTATGAAATCTTCCCCCAGTTTATCCAAGTCAGCATTTCACTATGCAGAAGAGTCTAATGTCATCTCTAGAGAGTTCATTTTGCCCCCTATATTCAAGACCATTTACTGAAACCTTGGTTCAATCTTTAAAAAGTCACAAGATCCTATTATGCCTAGCTTTGTTTCCAATCTTTTAAGTCTATTCCTTAACCTTGCCAAAAAAAAAGTACCTAAGTTTCTATGGTTTGACACATGGATCTTAGAATATGGAGCTATGGTAACTGCTCTTTAGAATTTAAAATAAGTTACATGTACTGGTTTTCCTTTATTTTGTAGTTTTGTTCTCAAAGAATTCCAGATGATTTCTTTTCAGGCAAAAATACCTTCTATATGCTTCCTTCTGTATGAATACATAAGACCTACCTTCATTCAAATTTCCTCTATGAAGCTTTCTCTGATCTTCAAACAGGGCTGAGACTTCCACCTAACTTAGAAAGCTAGCACGAGCTGGTACTGACAGATGGGAAGACTTGAGATGTTATAAGAGGATATATGAACACAAAAGGTAAAATTAAAATCTGTTCATTAGACTTAATTCCTAACCTTTTAACCACTCTTCCCTTTAGAACATTTTTGCAACTGAGTAAGCTGGGAAGGTTTTTTGGGTAATTCTACTAATGCTTTTTTTTTTTTTTTTTTTTTTTTTAAGACAGAGTCTCTCTCTGTTACCCAGGTTGGAGTGCAATGGTGTGATCGTGGCTCACTGCAGCCTTGATCTTCTGGGCCCAAGCAATCCTCCCACCTCAGCCTCCTAAGTAGCTGGGACTAAAAGTGTGCCACCACACCTGACTGATTTTTTGATGGGGTCTCACTATGTTGCCTAGGCTGGTCTCAAACTTTTGGGTTCAAGGGATCTTCCAATGTTGGCCTTCCAAAGAGTTAGGATTATAGGCATGGGCCACTGTGCCTGGCCAAATGCTTTTTAAACTGATAATTCATCTGTGTATGGTTATGTCAAAGAAGAATACATAGCTGCATAGGCTTAGAAAAAGTAAGGAAGTAACCCATTATATGTCTGTTTGTAAATTTTGCTTAGACCATTGTTTTTTATTTTCACTTTTGACTTTCAGAAGTAAATTAGAGCTATGTAAATAACAGAATGTCAACATTAAAATGTTATTCATAACAATGGCTAACAAGAACAGGGCGACAGTCAAGTCAGTAGCTTTTTAATAAAATGAGCAGAATCCCATCGTAACAGCTCTTTGTTACATGAATTCAAATACACAGCAGACTAATCATGTTCCCTGAAATTTAACACTCAAGTATACTTAATAAAGGCCTGTTAGTGCTGTCCCTCAAGACTCCAATTCTAAAGGGCTTCCTCTGAATTCCCTTTACAAAGCTTTGTGCAAAGAAGAGCTTAAGCACCAGTAAGAAAGACTGTTGTTAGCATTTTTATTTCATAATTATCATCAAATACAAACATGCAGTTCTTTCTGTGATGTGCACGGCACTGTAAAATGGGTGCTACACTCTGTCTTGTGGTACAAAGTTTATAAATACAATATACTGATACAAAGTTGAAGCTGTTAAAAAGAGCTTAATAACAACTACGTGGACAGAATTAAATCTAGAGTGTTGATGGAATCTATGGAGAGATTTAGAAACAAGACCTAAACTCAAACACTATGGTAAAAGTTTTTACTTGGGACGAGGCGAGAGGGGAACTTTTTATGTGCTGCTGAAGGATTTTTTAAAGTTGCTCCAAGTTTACTTTCTTTCTGCTATTATCTTTAAATACTGCAAAGCATTGTGAGCTGCGTCACTTTGTGCATTACCACAGGAGATACCGGAGCCATGACAGACCGTGATGGGGCTGGTGGACAGTTCAGCAAGACACTGGTACTGTCCGTTGGCGCTCAGTTCTTCTGTAATGACACATTCAAGCACGATGGTTAATGTCAAATATGTATAAAGTAGATCCCTTTGTAAAAACAATTCTTTCTTTTTAAGCATTCACTTGAAGTCTTTGTTTTGCTTGTACAAACAAAAAACCACAACTACTCAGCTGTAGCAGTTTTCAAACTTACTGTACTTCATAATCATCTGACAACTTTAAAGAAATACAGATATTTAGGCTGCACTCTTGCTCACTCAATCAGAAACACAGGGTTGGGGGTGGCTGATTCCTACATTTAAAAAAGAAAAAAGCTCCCAAGGCAATTCTAATATGGTTAGTTGAACAGTGTTTGGAAATTACTGAACCACAGTAACTTTCTCAAAAGACAAAGAGCCATGTGCTAGAGGACTGGAGAGATTGTATTTTCCACTAGGAAGTCATTTTCAGGAGGCATTTGAACCAGGAATAACTTGGGTCAAGGCAAAACCTTCCCTATGCCTCCCTTGTGTCTTCTATTAGGAAAAAAAAGTTTAATTGATGCATAATAATTGTACGTATTTATGGAGTTGTACATTCATGTTGTTAGGTTTTAAGTCTGTGCAGAGTGTAGTTCTTTATTTATACTGTAAATGGGTCACGGTATTTTAAAAACAATACCTGACCCAGGAAACAAATGTTCTTCCCATCAACTGATGAGTCACTCTTACTAAAGATGACTGAAATGAGGGCAGGGGGGAAGAAGTAGAAACGTGTGGTATGATTTAAAGTGGGCATAATAAAAATGTTAATTTTGATATTCCATTTAGTGGAAAATATCCAGATACAATGGGGTTATTTAATGAGTGAAAAGGCTTTCTAGTTCTAGTATCTAGGCTCTTTTATTTTTGTTTTTTGTTTTTTTTTGAGACGGAGTCTCACTCTTGTTACCCAGGCTGGAGTGCAATGGTGCGATCTCGGCTCACCGCAACCTCCACCTCCTGGGTTCAGGCAATTCTCCTGCCTCAGCCTCCTGAGTAGCTGGGATTACAGGCACGTGCCACCATGCCCAGCTAATTTTTTTGTATTTTTAGTAGAGACGGGGTTTCACTGTGTTGACCAGGATGGTCTCGATCTCTTGACCTCATGATCTACCCGCCTCGGCCTCCCAAAGTGCTGGAATTACAGGCTTGAGCCACCGTGCCCAGCCTCTTTTAATTTTTTTAGAAAAATTAATCATTTTAAAGTAAGCACTTCGGTGATATTTCCTATTTGCAATGTGCGCAACCACCATCTCTTATCTAGTTCCAAAACATTTTCACCACCCCAAGCGGAACCTCATTCACATTTAGCAGTTACTCATTCTCCCAACCCTCCAGCCCCTGCTTGAGGTTCATCCATGTTGTAGCCATGTATCAGAACTTCATTTCTTTTTATGGCTGAATAATATTTCATTGGAAGGACAGTCCACAATTTGTTTATCCACCATTTATTGATGGATGTTTTGGGCTTGTTTCCACCTTTTGGCTTTTGTGAATAGTGCTGCTATGAATATACAGATATCTGTGTGTAGAGGCATTTGTTGAAACACCAGTTTTTGATTCATACTCCTAAGTAGTGGAGTTGATGGATTACATGGCAATTCATTTGAGGAACTGAGCTTTTTCCACGGAGGCTGAACTGCTTTATATTACCACAAACAATGTATAAGGTTCCAATTTCTCTACATCCTCACCAACACTTGCTATTTTCCATTTCCTTAATTATAGCCATCCTAGTGTACATGAAGTGGTACCTTATTGTGGTTTTGATTTGCATTTCTCTATTGACTAATGATCTTGAGCATCTTTTCATGTGTTTTTTGGTCATTTGTACATTTTTATTTTATTTTAAAATTTTGAGAAAGGATCTTGCTATGTTGTCCAGGCTGGTCTCAAACTCCTGGGTTCGAGTGATCCTAAGGCCCAGTCTCTCAAAGGGCTGGGATTACAGTTGTGAGCCGTTGTGCCCACACCATTTGTGTCTCTCCTTTGGAGAATATCTAGGTTCTTTCGAAGGTAGCTGCATGGAAACTAGTCAAATTAACCGACTGTGGCTTTTAGACTGCTTTCCATATTTGTAAGAACTATTTAGTTCTCAAAAGTGGGAAGAAATGTTCAAAGGCATCATTAATTCATAATCTAAAAATTTATTTCAGGTTTCCTTTTTTCCCTAGATTCTGTATCCTTCCTAGTCCTATTCATGACATGGCTCTTTCATCTCTGTATTCTAAACCTTCAACAGATTGTAGACACTAATAAATATTTATTGGATGAATGGTCTCTCATCAGCCACCTTTTCTTTCTTTCTTTCTTTATTTTTGAGATGGAGTTTCATTCTGTTGCCGGGATGGAGTGCAGTGGCGTGATCTCGGTTTATTGCAACCTCCGACTCCTGGGTTCAAGCTATTCTCCCACCTAAGCCTCCTGAGTAGCTGGGATTACAGGTGCATGCCAGCATGCCTGGCTGTTTTGTATTTTTAGTAGAGATGGGGTTTCACCATGTTAGTCAGGCTGGTCTCAAACTTCTGACCATAGGTGATCCACCTGCCTTGGCTTCCCAAAGTGCTAGGATTACAGGCATGAGCTGCCATGCCTAGCATCTTTTCATTCTTTTTTTTTTTTTTTTTTTTTTTTGAGACAGGGTCTCACTCTGTCACCCAGGCTGGAGAGCAGTGGCATGACCATGGCTCACTGCTGCCTCAACCTCAGGGGCTCGAGTGATCATTCCCACCTCAGCCTCCCTCGTAGCCAGGACTATAGGCATGTACCACCATGCCCAGCTAATTTTTCATCAGCCACCTTTTCTAACCATCTGTCTGCACTGACTTCCCAGGTTTTACATCATTCTTGGTTTACTAAGACAATGCACATGACCCATCCTTCAATCCCAGAGTAGCAGAGATTATCAGAAGTTCTTTGAGCCCTAAGTGCCCTACTTTCCCAGGACCAGGGGGCCCTGACAAGCAAGGTCCCCACATCTCACTGTGGTTGGATAGGGATATAAAATTTCTTACACATTATATTGATGTTAAATCAAGACACCTTGGCCAGGCATGGTGGCTCACACCTGTAATCCAGCACATTGGGAGGCCGAGGTGGGCGGATCACTTGAGGTCAGGAGTTCAAGATCAGCCTGGCCAACATTGTGAAACCCCATCTCTACTAAAAAGAAAAAATTACTTTTGGGAGGCTGAGGTGGGCGGATCATGAGGTCAGGAGTTCTAGACAAGCCTGGCTAACATGGTGAAACTGTATCTACTAAAATTACAAAAATTAGCTGGGCGTGGTGATACATGCCTGTAGTCTCAGCTACTCGGGAGGCTGATGCAGGAGAACTTCTTAAACCTGGGAGGGAGAGGTTGCAATGAGCTGAGATCATGCCAGTCCACTCCGGCCTGGGCAACAGAGCAAGACTCCATCTTGAGGGGGGAAAATACAAAAATTAGCCAGGTGTGGTGGTGGGTGCCTGCAATCTCAGCTACTTGGGAGGCTGAAGCAGGAGAATTGTTTGAACCCAGGAGGCAGAGATTGCAGTGAGCCGAGATTGTGCCACTGCACTCCAGCCTGGGCAACAGAGTAAGAGTCTGTCTCAAAAAAGAAAAAATAAATAAATAAAGATACCAAACATTGAATTAAAAGAAAATCCATACTGACTTGCCTTTCCCTCTGTCCATATTTGTCTATCCAAATGATTAAGGGCTAGAGAAAATACAGATGATGATGGATAGGATGGGGTTAAACTATAAATTGACTTGTCTCCATTTACCTCCCAGAATCAGCATACGGTGACAAAGTAGAGAGAAAAGGTCTGGGCACCAGAAAGTTGGTACTTGCGCTAGAAATCTGAGTGCCTTTTCATTTGCCCAGCAGCCCATCCGCGCTAGTTTAACAGCCAGGGTATCTGCAGGGACTCTCCCCCTACCACTGACTAGCTATGTGATCTTCGGCAAGTTTCTCAACCTTTCTGGCCTTTCTTTCTTCACTTACAAATAAGGATAAGAGAACTTGCTTCATAGAGTTAGTCCGAGGATTCAGTTAGTAGATACATGTGATCTCCTTACAACAGTGCCTGGCACATAGTAAATCTCCATCTTTGCTATTATAACTGCATAGATGTTAGCTATTATTATTATCCACAAGAATGGGACATATCAATTATATACATTACTGGTCTAGTAATTATATATACTTAGAATCCCTGATCAATAAAATACATTATAATAAATTTTTGTTTCTCAAACACACTTTTAAATAAACATGTCTTGGGAAAGCCAAAGAAAAATAAAATCATACCTATATCCAAATATGTTATATTAAAACCTTGTTCCTTGGCAATTTCACTAAGCAGCTGGATGTAATCTGTATTTGGAATACTAAGGAGACTTCTTTTCAGTAAGTTGATCTTTTCACCAGGAGAATTCCTCAAGGAATGCCAAGTACATCCTAAAGAATGTCCTACTACATTTGTCTGAAAAACAGAGATGAAGATTTAGACTCTTAGCTAGGACTGGGTTCCAACAACAGTACCAGTATAATTAAAAGTACTTATTAAGCACTCACATTTAATATGTTAGACAACATTAAAAAGCACACATTTAACAAATACTACCATATATAAGAAGCAATAATACACTGAAAGTATTTTGTATTTTGTACAGTACAAATGTTTCTCAGTCAAATCTTCCGATGGTCACATTAAGAAGTACAACATAATTTGGGAGTATTAATCTACAAATAATTAAATCTGCCTAATGGAGCAATTTGCAGATTAAAATATTAAACAATTTTCATTTTTTAAATGAAATACCAATCACTGTAACTGACAGGTATAAAGAAGAAAACAAACAAACAAAATGTAAAAAAAAAAAAACCATGAAATGTGCAAGTTGGGTTTGAGGAACAAGTCATTCAAATAAATGGCAGGATGTCAAAAAGTTCTTATCAGACTTCTATCCTAGAACTCCACTGAGTATTTTTTCCTTTTTCTTTCTGCTTTTCCTCTTTTCTTTATTCTCTCCTATATCCTTCCCTTTTCATCTCTGTCCTTAGAATTCCTTATATTTCCATAACTTTATGGTTCTCAAATTGCTTTCACATGCTGTTAATAAGAACAACTACTATCTGAAGTACGTAGGACTACTACTTTTTTTTTTTTGTATGGAGTCTCGCTCTGTCCCACAGGCTGGAGTGCAGTGGTGCAATCCTGGCTTCCTGCAACCTCTGCCTCCCGGGTTTCAGCAATTCTCTTGCCTCAGCCTCCAGAGTAGCTGGGACTATAAGTGCACGCCACCAAGCCTGGCTAATTTTATGTATTTTTTTAGTAGAGACAGGGTTTCACTGCGTTTCCCAGGCTGGTTGTGAACTTCTGATCTCAGGCAACCTGCCCACCTCAGCCTCCCAAAGTACTGGGATTATAGATTTGAGCCACCGCGCCTGCCACAGGTACTACTCTTAATCTTACTTTATTAATAAGCATGACAGAGGGAAGGCAATTTCCAAATGATTCTAGAGATGGCATGATATAAAAATAATTATTTGTTAATTTACCAAATAAAAGTTTACAGAAATTTTAAAATACTGTTTTTAAATAAATTAAATAACACTATTTACATGGTTAAAAAATACATACATGCACTAAGAACAAATATATAATGAGCTCACTAAATTGTTTGCTGAGTGAATGAATGAACAAACAAAGGGATGGAAATGTGCTGTCCCTCTGAAGGCAAAAATGGCACTACTGGCCTATCATCTTTAGATCCTGTCCTATTATTCTGAATTTGACTGTGTCTCCCAAGTTCTCTTACCTAATTACCTCTGTGATCCTGACTCACAAACAGGAAGCAGCTAAAAATGGTGTAATATATAACTGAACAGTGAAGAGATTTCTAAAAATCACAACCCTGAAGTATCTATACAATAAAAAATCAAGGAAAGTTTCCTACAGCGAGAAATGCTTAGCGATATTAACATCATAGCTGTCGACACTACTCACTAAAGAAATGTGATTCTCTGGAGAAATATTACTAAATTTGGCAAGAAATTTCTCAGCAGCATTCCTTTTGGCTTGCTTTTTTGATGCCCCCTTTCCTGAACAAAGAAAAAGAAATGGTAGATTTAGAAAAGAAATTAGTGTCCACAGAGGATGAGCAAATGTATAAAGTATTGTGTTTAATCAGAGAACCTCAAGGTTTTTATTATATGCTAGACTATTTTCTTACTGACATGATATCTTTGTTGTGCTGTTTTGTCTGTATAGCTATCATTTTTTTCTTGAGATGGAGTCTCGCTGTATTGCCCATGCTGGAGCGCAGTGGAGCAATCCTGGCTCACTGCAACCTCCACCTCCTTGATTCAAGCAGTTCTCCTGCCTCAGCCTCCCAAGTAGCTTACTGATGCCCACCACCATGCCCAGCTAATTTTTTGTATTTTTAGTAGAAACAGGATTTTGCCATGTTGGCCAGGCTGGTCTCGACTACTGACTTCAGGTGTTCTGTCTGCCTCAGCCTCCCAAAGTGCCGGGATTGTAGGCATGAGCCACCACGCCGGGCCTGTATAGCTACTAATTCTTACACTTTTGAAGGCATTTGTTTTAAGTTTTTCTTTAATAGTTATGCTTTCTGTTTTTCTGTAATAGTTGTGTTTTCCTATGTCTAGCATTACTGAACCATATTTGGTTTAATTCTGACCAATTATTCAGATTTATTAAAATACATCTGAATTATAACTCCTCTCTCTCTCAATGTCTATTTCTTCCTGCTTGCGATCTTCTCTAAACTGACAATTATGTGGAATTCCTTTTAACAGGAATAAGAAAGGCACAGGAGATGCTGGAGTTGAAAGATATCATAAATATCTACCTCCATGCTTTCGTTTTATAGATTAAAAAACTGAGGTCCAGAGAGATAAAGTAATTTGCTTAACCTTGCAAATCAAGGACTGCAAGAATGGAAGCTGAGGTTCCTGCTTTTGGCCCACTGCATTCTGTACTGGCATACACTACCTCCCAAAGGCAAACAGTTGCTTATTACTGGAAACTATTATCTGGCTAAGGTAAAAATTCCATTTTAAGCCACTTTAAAAAATGACAAAAACATGCCAGAGAAGTTAACAGGAATTCTCACTAGTAATTTTTTTTTTGAGATGGAGTATCGCTCTGTCACCAGGCTGGAGTGAAGTGGCATGATCTCAGCTCACTGAAACCACCTCCTCCCTGGTTTAAACAATTCTCCTGCCTCAGCCTCCTGAGTAGCTGCGACTACGGGTGTGTGCTAGCACGCCCAGCTAATTTTTGTATTGTTAGTACAGATGGGGTTCCACCATGTTGGCCAGGATGGTCTCGATCTTTTGACCTCTTATCTGCCCGCCTCGACCTCCCAAAGTGTGGCGTTACAGGCATTAGCCACCGCGCCCGGCCACTCGTACTTTTTAAAGTAACAGTTTTTCTTACAGTTTATGTCCTTTATAACATAGGAGTTGCTGTAATTAAAAAAGATAATTTTCATTTTTATCTCACTGCAATTATTTGCCATCTAGTCTCTTACTAATCATCCCATTTTCAAGTGTAATCTTCCTCTAGTCCTCCTGTTTCTTAGAATAGCTGTTAAAATCCAAGAGATTATGGCTTTTTCTCCAAAATGAGTTTTTTTTTAAAGTCACTAATTTATCAGTGAAGACTGAAGTACAGAGCTGATTGTTTGTCTATTAATAATCTATGATTTTTAAAAATATCAAATTAAGAAGTCTAAGTATCTTAAGCCAAATACTTATATTTAAGTTCAACCTCAGAAAGTCAGAGACAATAACGGAGGAGTGTATCACTTTTTTTTGCACAGAAATATTTGAAAACATTACAACAGAAATTTCTATGGTTATTCATTATCTGAAAATATTTCAAATGTCTTTAATTATAAGAAGCAAGTACCAGTTTCCATAAATGATTCTAGCCTGCAAATTGTGGTATATTCTCTCTTATGAGCAGGTCCTCCCTCCTGGGAAAGAGTATATTCAGGAAGTCTCCAGCCATGATGAATAGCCAATTCCTATAAAATCAAGATGAGGCTTTAATAGTAATTTTAACTATGCAATGGCTCAATCACATAAATATTTTCATAATTTTGATCCAATTTCTATGTATATGTTGAAAAGAATGGTGATTTTCTGCAATGGAAGAAAGAGGGAAGACACTCTATTTCTCAAAGACATTTCACTCATTTTATATCTTTATATCCCAATACCAAAACTGAAGCAGTTGTGAGCTATGAATGGTGTTCTTCCATTAAACTACAGTGAGCTGAAATCAGACTTCAACTAGAAAAACAGGCGACTACCACCCTTTTTGGGAACACCAGAGGAGACATCTACAGGTTTCACTGCTATCAGTTCCTAAAGCCCCTCTCCTCCAGGCTATAGACTTCCAAACCCACAGCTGGCCAACTACTGCATTTGAACAAGAACACATGAGGAGCAAGGACAACAAACAACAGACCTGGATGAGGTGGGGGACAGAAGGTGAGGAAAACTACAGAAAAGCTTGTAGTGCAGGAAAAGGAGACCAATGGTCTGGCTGAATAATGGGGAGGGGAATGGTCTAACAGACCACATGGATAATCTGCAAGCAGGATAATCTGCATATAGAAATTCAAAGCTGAATGTATATGTATGTGTGTGTGTGTGTGTGTTTGTGTGTGTGTAGATATAAATATATAATTTTTTTTAGTAGAATAAGCAAATAAGCAGCCTACTTTGCTTTTCTTGAGTTAGGTTCACTGACTTAGGCTCTTTATCAAAAGTTTTCTGTCTCAACAGAAGTAGAATTTTTCACAACAGTAGCAAGAACTAGTCTTAAAGTATAAAACACTACCCATGTGCACTGAGGGCCTGTTGATCTTAAATGAGAATTCCACAAGCCAAAGGCAAATACTGTATATAAAAGAAAATCCAAAACATAGGAAAATAATTTCAAGTTAGCTCTATAAAGCTAATGATCATAAGTTGGAAAACAAAATATATCACTATCTTGTCTTTACAATATTAATTCCTTGTGTTAGCCCTTGTGATATTACAAATTTATTATATATTTTATCAGTAGGTAAAGAACTGTACAACCTACCTGTAATGAACCAATAGGATTAAGCTGGTTCTTTGGTTGCTTGGAAGGGTCAGGCATTAAGGGGTCAGGAACTGCAAAGCTAAACATTTTTTAAAAGTGTTATAAAACAAAGTAATTTCCCCTGAATTATGAAATAAATGACAAGCATTTTCTAATTAACTCCCTATGTCTTTTACTTGTCATTCCTTCTACATGGAATGCCCTTTTCTCAGACCTCTTCTATGGGAATCTGATCTATCCATCACCCAAGATCTATCTCAAATGTCACTTCCTTCAAGAAGCCTATCCTTTTACCCCAATAGTTCACAATCTCTCCCTTCTCTGAAACATTGTAACACATGGTTTAATCTTTCCTGGAGGAAATTGTTTTACCATAAATTATATACTCTTACAAATACATGTAATTTGTCCATCCTTCACCTCACCTCTCCCCTGTTCAGACTGTAAGCTCCCTGAGGTAGGGCTTATGTATCACTTACCTACATAAGCTTTGTGGTGTTTTGTACATAATAGGCATGTCATAATATATTTAAAGAATACTCTTGTTACAACTATACAAAAAATGGAAGATGAACAATGATCCAGAAAATTTAGCCTGACAATGTGAATAATACAGATTATAAATATTGTTTTTTTAATACAGAGAACTATGAAGAGCTATCTGTTTGAACTATCAGCTGCTTAGTGCTGGGATAATTCTATAAGATTTACAGGTATCCTGCATAAAATAGATGGCTTAGATAAATTTGGGTTTAGCATGTGGGGATTATGATTAGGGAAAAAGAGAACAACCACTTCTAGGGAGTTTGAAATTACTGGTTCCTTGGCAGATCAGTGCTTAAAACTGAATAAGCGGCATTCTGCGGTTATTACCACCTAGGCAACTGGAATGTCATTTTTCCATGACAAAGGAGGTTTAGTTATTGCTACTTCCTCAAGGATTTTTTTTTTCCAACTGCCAGAATTTCAAGCTTTACATAGGCTGATGAGATATGAGTATTCACTTACAATGCTGCATGCCGAAGCTACCCAAATAATTGTGATGGAGAAGTGAGAAAGTCTCTGTATTAAGTCAGGCCACTTTAGGCCTGATTACAGCTTAGTAATTCCCATTTTATCTGTCAAGAAGCACAAATATAGTAAAGTTTGTTAGCTTTTTCTGCTGACAAAGTGAACTGCCCAGATGCAGAAAGGACACTCCGTACCTCATTTCTACAAATCTACTTAATGGTTTGGGTTCACCTTCAGGCTGTACAGAAACAGCATGGCCATTACCAGTAGGGGAGAACCCAATACCTGCCATGTCATTTGGCATGTCTTTTTTTTTTATTTGTTTTATTTGTTTGGAGACAGAGTTTTGTTCTATCACCCAGGCCAAAGTGCAGTGGCCCAATTCGGCTCACCGCAATCTCTGCCTACTGGGTTCAAGCGATTCTCATGTCTCAGCCTCCCAAGTAGCTGGGTGCGCACCACCATGCTCAGCTCATTTTTTGTATTTTTAGTAGAGACAGGGTATTACCGTGTTAGCCAGGCTGGACTCAAAACTCCTTACTCAAGTGATCTGCCCACCCTTGGCCTCCCAAAGTGCTGGGATTATAGATGTGAGCCATTGTGCCTGGCCTTGTTTTTCTTTGAGAAAGGTCTCGCTCTGCCACCCAGGCTGGACTGCAGTGGCGCAATCTCAGCTTACTGCAACCCCCGCCTCCTGGGTTCAGGGGACTCTTGTACCTCAGTCACCCAAGTAGCTGGGATTACAGGCACCTGCCACCATGCCTGGCTAATTTTTGTACTTTTAGTAGAGATGGGGTTTTGCCATGTTGCCCAGGCTGATGGTCTCAAACTCTTGGCCTCAAGTGGTCTACCCACCTCAGCCTCCCAAAGTGCTGAGATTATAGGCGTGAGCCACCCTGCCTGGCCTGGCATGTCTTAAAAGCTGGCATAGATCAATTATAATGCATGGCCCTAGATAATCAAGCATCATCTTGTGAAATGCAAGGCTTATCTTGGGCAGCTGCTTATTCAGAGGGTTGCCATGTTACTGATTAGTTCGAAACTACCCAAAAGGTTTAGAATGACTTATAAAAAGATAGAAATACTACTTGAGAACCTAACTACACATCTAATCCAAAAGCCTTTCTATGACTAAGGAATAAAAAACCCATCTAAAATTCCCTGGTCTCTACTGTCAGCTATGAGCAGATTATACCAGATTTGTACTTCAGGCATATGTTGAGTGCACGCACGAGAAGAGCTTGAAAGCACGTCACACACCCAAGTGTGCCCAGTGGAAACCAAAGGACACTACTTTATGATACGTGAGACGTCCAGTACCAGTATTCTGTCCAGAAACACCTAAATTGGTAAAAAAAAAAAATCTTACTTTGGAAAGGTCTGTCAAGAACTAATATCCTGCTTAACATTTTCTTCTTTTGGCATATATTATATAATAAAAGGAAACCTCTGCCTGCTTTTTCAAAATTTGAATTCGTAAAGAGTACTTTTAGTTATCTTTCTCTATCTCACTTTGTTTTCTTCAAAGTAGAAATAATCAAAGTATTAATGCAGAATGTTAATATTAATATTTGCAAGAAACACTGATTTTCTACTGTTGTACCCCATTAAAAAAAATATAACAGTAGACCCTAGTTCATAAGTGCCTTTGTTTAATAGCTAATTACTGGATTTGACTGGATAAAGTTTTCTTTAATGGATGGTAAGTTTTCACAAGGAAACAATTTGAGAGGCAGGACGCTAACTGTTCACCTTGTTGCTTTTGTGAGCATGTTCAAATTTTTAATCTTACCTCAGCCATGATATTTTTGAGCTGCTGAATACAAAGAAATTTAGCTCACCAAATACTTGCATTGGCTTTCAAAATGTTTATGGCAGCCTCTGCAGCTCTATGTTTCGCCAGCTTCTTACTTGTACCTTCACCTGAATTAAGATTTAAAAAAAGAAGTCTTTATCTCCCACAAAAATGTACAGCTTACATAGATGTTTTCAAAACACAAAGTCACTATAGATTTTACATACACATACTTGGTAATAAAAACATATACTACATGCAGTTATACACTGTAATAAAATATCTGCCATGTGAAAAACATAGTTAAAAACACAATTTTTAAAGTTCTGTGTATTTAATTCTATGCATACCTACATAAAAATCCTTATTTTTACATTATATATGTTTATCACATAACATGGTAATAAAGCAGACTGTGCCACACCTATGAAGAAATACAACTTGGTATTTTACTTTTCCGTTATTCCCAGAGGGGAAATTCTTCTGCAGTAAGAAGTTTATTTTAAAGGAACCACTTACAGCCAAATTGTTGGATAGCAAAGTGTGCATAATTTTATTCTGACAGTCTGTCCTATAACGTATCAAACTGCTCTGCTAGGCTGAGCAGTCACGATGATATGTTGGGTACAACAGGAAAGAGTTTTATGAAATAAGGTGACAGCTTGTTATGTATCTTCTGGACAATCTGTATCTTCTGCATGGGTAGCTAAGTTGAGACTAGGGATAAGACTCAGGTCTCATTTCAGTAAGCGATCACAATGGCAAATGATAAATTCATAAATTGAATCTTTTTCCTTTTGAGTTCAAACTCTCAAACCCTCATGGAATAAGTTTCAAGTGTGGCCCTTAAATGTGAGAAGATACACAAACCACACATTTATCTGCTAACAGAGGTGTTAGGGATATAGCATACAGCATCCCTGCCCTCAAGAGCTAACAGCCTAGTGTGGAGTTTTTGTCTGTTAATAGGCACCTGAAATACGGAATGGGATATGTTACAACAAGCCTAAGTGCAGGCTGTACGTGAATACATAAAAGCAGCAGCTCTCTTACTCTTGGTAAGGATTCAGAAAGGTTTCATGAAGGAAGAGATAACTAAATGGAGACCTGAATGATGAGTAACAGCTAATAAAGAGAAGAGAGATGGGGGATTAGAAAGAGCATTCTAGGTAGAGAAAAAGAGCACCTGCAAAGGCTCAAAGGCAACATACAGGATAGTGTTCTCAAGAATCCCAACTAGTTGGGTTTGGCTAAAGTGTAAGAGCTTTTTCAAAGTGTAAGAAGGAACACTGTAAGTCGTTAAGAAACATGCATTACAGGTCGCTCACACCTCTAATCCTAGCACCTTGCAGGGGGGAGTGGGTGGAATGCCTGAGGTCAAGAGTTAGAGACCAGCCTGGCCAACATGGCAAAACCCCGTCTCTGCTAAAAACACAAAAATCAGCCGGGCAAGGTGGCACACGCCTGTAATCCCAGCTACTCGGGAGGCTGAGATAGAGGAGAATCGCTTGAACCTGGGAGATGCAGGTTGCAGTGAGCCAAGATTGTGCCAGTTCTTTCCAGCCTGAGTGTAAGAGCGAAACTCTGTCTGGGAAACAAGCAATCAAACAAACAATATGTATTTATCCAGAGGGTTATAGGGAAACCACTGAATGGATTTTGAGACGAGGAAGTATCTGAATGCTAGAAAGTACACTGGTTGTTAGGGCTGGATGAGGTGGCTCACACCTGTAATCCTAACACTTTAAGAGGCTGAGGTGGGAAGATTGCTTGATGCCAAGAGTTCAAGACCAGCCTGGCAATGCAGTGAGACTTTGTCTCTACTAAAAATCAGAAACATTAGCTGGGCATGGTGATGTGCACCTGTAGTCCCAGCTACTCAGGAGGCTGAGGCAGGAGGATTGCTCTAGTCCAGGAGACTGAGGCTGCAGTGAGCTATGATCACACCACTGTACTCCAGCCTTGGTGACAGAGCGAGACCCTGTCTCAAAAAAAAAAAAAACAAAAAAAAAAAACAAACACTGGTTCTCATGTGACAAAAGGACATCATGAGACTAGAAGATAAACATACAGCTACAGGACTGCAGCTGTAATCCAAGTGAGAGATGACAGTGGCCTAGGCAGTAGCAATGGCCAGAAGTGAGAAGCAGATAGATGCAATGGATATTTAGGAGATGGAGTTTAATGACAGACTGGACAACAGGGAGAGAGATGGGACGTAGTTAGGAATACAAACCCACATTTCTACTGAACTAGTTGATTGTGGAGCTTTTACAGAGAAAGGAAATGCAGGGAGAATGGGTTTGAGGGAAAAAGAAGAATTCAGTTTGGGACAATGAGAGGCTTGAGGGGCTTCTGTGTCTTCCAAGCAAAGATGGTCAGCAAGCATAGACAGATACACTGTTTTGTAACTGGGCTTGGGATGAAGATATTTAAGAATTATCAGCCTTTGGATAGTATTGGAAGCTATGGAGGCAGATAAGCTTGCACAGGAAGCCATGGTAGTGTGAGAAGAGGGCATGAGCAGAACAGCTGCCATAGGCTGTCAATTTGGAATCTAAAACACACTGAGGGGGAAAAAGCCTCCTTTTTCTTGAATTCTTCCCGATTATCTAGAAATAGACTAGCTAAAGAAGTAATGCAGTGTTGACTCTGGTTCCCATGGGGACCGTTCCGGCCAGCACCTACAATGTAACTGCCTCACACAAAAAGTTTTAAACTTTTCTTAAAGTGGCATCAATTAAACTAAAGGACTCTAAACTTCCAGGGACACAAACAAATGCTGCCTTCAGATTTACCAGATGGTAGAACTTGAGCCTTCCGACTAAAATTTTTTTCTTGGCATTCTTCCAAATTAAATTTAGCATCCCATGTTTTGTTTGCAATTAAATAGATACATAAGAAAAATAATGTCCACATTTACAAATGAGCAACTTCAGTTACTTGTTCAAGCTCACAGACCAAAAGAAGGCATGGACTTTGAAACTTCATTGCTATGTGACTTCATTGCTATAGGCATGTTACTTATAATCACTCTGAACCTGTATCTTCTTGTGTAAAAAGTGGATAATATACAAAATATCTGTTCAGTTTCAAAAACTGGAAGTTATGCAATATAATACATAAGGACCTTCTTTCTGACCTTCCTCATTTTGCTTGGATACAGAATCAAGAGTGGTACAATGGACCTAAAGTGCAAATGAAAATTCTGGGGTCATGCCTGCTGGCATCTGCTATAAACTTCACAGTACCCCAGCTATGACTGCTCTGAACCTTTCCTGCTTCTCTCTAATTCTTAGAAGAACCCTAGGAGGATCCTAGGGTATGAGAGGAGCTGTGCAGGATGGCTGGGTAACTTTTTAGTTTCTGAGCTTCTTTGGTATCTGGGGAAGAGAAAATTAATTAGGAAGAGAATTAGATGAGGCTTGGAAGTCCTAGCGACCTAAGATGAGAGGTCTGTTTCAGAGCCTGTTCCTTACAGCTGTCTGGTAAAATGAGCACTTTTCTGAACTGAAAAGCAACACCAAATCTTGAATGCCAACCCACTCGGTCATCCAGGTTAACTGTGTATACAGACCTGTGCAGGTTATGTCACCAACGGTTACTCTGAAGGTGAAAGTGGGTACGTGTATTTGCACATCAGATCTTTCACATTCATAAACCGGGATGTTCTTGGTCTTCATGCCGTACTCGTGTAATACCTGAATCGGTGTTTTCCCTGGCTTAGCTGTTATCATCTTCCCCAAACTGCAAAAACCAGAAAAAGGTGTGCTTTGCATGCCAAATTGGAGATTAAAGCAGAAGAGTGCAGAGACCAGTTTTGACCGCCACCGACGACGTCGCTGGAGGCGAGGAGCTTCCCGGTGGCCAGGGCCAGAGCTGGCGAGGCTGGGGCGCACCTGTCTTCCGGCCCTGCTGCGGCAGTCACCCCGCTGGGGCAGGCGGGGTGAGCGAGGTCTTTAGAAAAATAACTTGAATGCGGGTAAGAGATTCTCAACAGAACAGGGCTCGCAACAGCGCCGCAGCCTCAGGAACAATCGCACGAGCCTTTCCCAGGCGCGGCGACCGCGCACCACCTCCGCCAGCCCCGCGCACCGTCGGGGGCCAAGAGAGAGGCGGGGCCCGGCCGCAGACCCCAACCCGCGCCGCCGAGAGGGCGGGGCCGAGAGCCCGCAGCCGCGGAGGCTGGGCTGCCCGGCAGGGGTTTTACCCAGAATGCTGCTGGAGGGCCGGCTCCCCGCGCCCCGGCCCCGCCTCCCGACGCTCCCGGCCCTGGGGCCCCGACTACCCGCACGCTGACCTGAAGGTCCCGCTGTCCTGGCGCTCCAGCGGCGGGGCCTCGGCGCGGTGCCTGCTCTGGGACATGGCGAGAAAGGACGGCTCAGTGGCGGGAGGAAGAGCGGTGCGGAGCAACGTGCTTGCTCCCCGGGTCCCCAGGAGGAGCTCTAGCGCCGCCGCCTCCCCTAGCTCCCCCTGCTCCTGCCTGCGTTCCTCCGGCGAGGGGGCGGGCGGGGCGGGGGCGGAGCCTTGGTGCCGTAGCTCCGGCTACGCCCCCTCGCTGCCCAGCTCCGGGCCTCGGTCCCGGCCCAGACCCGCCCCTGTCCCCTCCAGGGTCCGTCCCCTCTCCGCCCGGCTCCGCCCCCGGGCTCGGGCTTTTAGGCTCTCTGGGCTTCACTGCGTCCGCCCCTGCCGGCCCTGGCCAACCCGCAGTCATTGGCCCGCAGGCCGCAGTTCTTTGTCCTTAGCAGGAGACTGTTTCTTGCCTGGAGAGAGGAATTGTCCGGCGTGGGTCTAGGGTGTTTGAGGCCTGAAGTTAAGCCTTTGTGGGGAGGACGGATTGGGGGCTGGGTCACTTTAAGAAAACGGTTTCAAAATAACGAAGGCAGAATTGCTAGGGAGACTCCCCGGGCCTGGTCCCGAAGCTTGAGATCCACGATATATCTGCCCCAGGGGGCTGCGGTGGGCTCTCCGGGTCCCCGAGCCCTGTGTTTAGGAACACGCGGAGACGTCCAGAGACCCCTCCTCTCCCGCCAGGCGGGCTCCTTTGTCTTCTGGGCTTTCGTCGAGAGATGGAACGCTGGTCAGTGCATCCCAGCAAAACACGTTAGGTGTAACGAAGGCCTTTCTCCGGCCCTGTGTTGTCATGGCGTTTGCCTGGGATGCAGCACCTTTGGTGGGCCATTAGATGTCGTGTCTCTTCTCCAGGGGCTTGCTAGGCATTTGCAGAAATGCCCCCCTGTGCTTACCCTGTGTTCTGGAAGATTGCTTTGTACGATGCTATTCATACGAAAGGATGTTATTAAAAGTGATTTATGGCCTGGCGAGGTGGCTCACCTGTAATCTCAGCACTTTGGGAGGCCAAGGCGGCCGGATTGCTTGAGGTCATTTGCTCGAGACCAGCCTGGCCAACAAGGTGGAACACTGTCTCTACTAAAAATACAAAAATTAGTTGGGAGTGGTGGTGTGCACCTGTAATCCCAGCTGCTTGGGAGGCTGAGGCAGGAGAATCGCTTAAACCCGGGAGGCATATGTTGCAATGAGCGCAGATCGCACCCCCGCACTCCAGCCTGGGCGACAGAGGGAGACTCTGTCTCAAAAAAAAGAAGTGATTTATTATTTTGTTAGCATGTGAGCCCTCGATGTTTGAAAGCAAGTGAAAGATGTTCAGAATCTAATCAAGTGATACCATTTGATGCTTTAATTAGAGCTTATTCTCTCTTCCTCTCCATTCTCGTCTATATATGTATGAATAGAGATTACTATCCATCACCGTTTTATGGGTATCTTATTGGAAGGGCTACACAGTCACTATTTCAAAATATATTAACGTACGCATAACACTGATGAAAAAACATTTCAGCACTTAGGTAAAATACATTTTTAGTCACAAAATCACTTAAAAACAGGCCAAAACTTTTAAATAGCTCTTGTTAAAGGTTGAATAACTGGGATAATAATGATAAAATAAAAAGATGCAGCAGGACTCCATTTCAAAGAAACAGAGTCTGTGTGCCAAACTTCAGAGTAAGGAACCACTAGGTAATAGTTTATATAGTTACTTATATGGAATGTGGCTTTGCTTTTAAAATAAGGATCTGCATATAATTGTTTCTTTATAGTCTGTGAATTCATATTTAATATTAAACACAGTTTTGTAACATATAAGATGGAAGGTAAATGAAATGCTCAGTGAACTGTGTGCCATGAGGATTCAAAACAGCACTTTCGTGTTGCCAAAATTCCAGTGGTGGACTTGTGAAGGGATTCCCTTTGGACTAGGTCCACTATAGATGGTATCCGGGACTATTGTTAGTGCCTAAATTGCATTGCTTCCCACAGGGCTATATGCTTCCCTTAAAATTGGCCCACCGCCAGTGGCAAATCACTATCTACGTACTGTGATCCTTATCATAGACTTTGGTCATATTTTTATGTTACTAGTTTCCTGTGTATATTTTAGTGCTATAGCCTGCCATTCCAAATTAAACATGCTCTTAGCATATCATTTTACACCGTTGATCTATAATTCATTACCTGAGCACATGAGCGGAGGCAGTGAATTATACAGTGGTAAACTACTTGGTGAAACCAAGCTTTGTATTTATAAGGTGTATAATTATATTTAAAAACAAGCAATGCTTAATTTTGTGCCTGATTTTCCTCTTTGAAAATGGATTTATCTGGGGGCAGTTGATGACGTTTTGATATTAATATGTTTGCTGCTGCTACCAAGAGCTTTGTCAAGCAAGTTGGAAATGGAGGGAGATTAGTTCCTGTACCAAGCCTCAGTGAAGCTGACAAATATCAACCTCTAAGTCTGGTGGTAAAAAAGAAGCGATGCTTTCTGTTTCCTAGATATAAATTTACTTCAACACCTTTTACACTGAAAGATATTCTCTTAGGAGACAGAGAAATTTCAGCTGGTAAGTTTAAATGCTTCGGAATGACAACTCAGTCATTGGTATTATTGGTAAGCTAAATGTAGGTTATATATCCTACTTACATTAGTAATACACATTCTCGATGATTAAAGCAACTTTTATTATGATGGTAGTAGTAACATTATTAAGATCAACAATGCCGAAAGCTTATATAATATCAAATCTCTTATTGGTCAAATAATTTTCAAATCTATCAATTATTTTATAAATTGTTTTAACCAAGTCAACGTAGAATATGGCATATTCATCTATAAAATGGGATGTTATTGGGCTTACCTATCTTATATGGTCAAATGAGATGAAAGTAATTTGTATTTATTTTTTACAATTCAATTATTATAATTGGTAAACTGAAATGTATTTGAAGGGTAGGTTATATAATAAATTGATATTTTAAGGAGTTATTGCTTATAAACACTTATTTTTTCTTTTAATCACCCAGTGGATCTTGATGCTTAATAAGTTCTGTTGGCTGAGCAGAAAATTTGAGTTCCTTTTAAGATTTCTGGCTATGTGTTTCTTTTTGTTGTAAGATTAATTGAATTACTATTTTAAGTCTTGGTGAGTCATGTTGCCTTTCTCTAACATTTGTGTAATTGAGTCTTCAATTGTGAATTAACATGTTACTATATATAATCTACATAAGATAAATTAAAGACATTTAAAAAATACAAAGTTTCTTCTTGTAAAGGTATTTCATCTTATCAATTACTGAATTATGAAGATGAATCGGATGTTTCACTCTATGGAAGGCGAGGAAACCATATTGTAAATGATGTTGGGATAAACGTTACTGGATCAGATTCCATTGCAGTGAAAGCTTCATTTGGTATAGTAACCAAACATGAAGTCGAAGTATCAACATTACTCAAAGAAATTACTACCCGGTCAGTATAATAATCCTAATATATTTCAGTGTTTTTATTAAATACTTTAGCTATATAAACTTCATTACAAAGAATGTTTAAAACATTGAGGTTGTGTTTTACTATTGTAATTTGCTAGATATGTTTGAAATACATTAGTAGTATATTCATACTTTGAATAAGGATAGATATCAAAAATCATTTGGCTTAAACAAATTTTTAATTGTTCCACAAAATTACTTTGGCTCTGCACACATTTGCTAAATTATTAGATTGAAATAATAGAGGAGTCTGCAACAAATATGGAGTCCCCTTCAATAGACTTTCTACATAAGCGTGTTTTAAGAAAATAGAAAGCAGAAACAAATTATGACATGTTTTGGGGTGTATTTTCTGACTATTAGGCTTGCCTTGATTTACTATTAGGTGAACTATGAATGAACAACACGTGATAGCAAAAAATGTCCTTGATTATATATAATTAGATGTTACAGAGTCTTGTGAATGTATCTTCTTTATTTTAGAAAAATTAACTTTGATCACAGCTTGATACGTCAGTCAAGGAGCAGCAGAAAGGCAGTATTGTGTGTGGTCATGGAGAGCATCCGAACCACACGACAGTGCTCGCTGTCTGTGCATGCTGGAATTCGAGGAGAAGCAATGCGGGTAAACCACACTCATTGGCCTTCTCTTGCTAACTAAAATGTTGCCGTGGGAATTTTTTGCAAGTATTTAATTCCTAGTCAGACTTGTGTATTTTGTCAAATGTTTTGCTGAAAGAGCTGTAGTTGCGTAGGATTTTGCACAGTAATATCTGTTCTGGAATATGGAAAAAAAAAAACAACTTGGATTCTAAATGTGTAATATAATGCAAAAACACTAATGCTTGTGAAATTAGGTGCATACTGGAGTCCATCAAATTACCATTTAAGTGTTGTTTTAAGAATAAAAAATTGAGTGTTTGAGTTAAATTGTTTGATTTTATTTTTAAGTGATACAGTTTTTGGCCGGGCACAGTGGCTCACGCCTGTAATCCTAGCATTTTGTGAGGCTGAGGCGGGCAGATCACTTGCAATCAGGAGTTCTAGCCCAACTTGGGCAACATAGTGAAAACCTGTCTTTACTAAAAATACAAAAATTAGCCAGGTGTGGTGGTGCACCCCTGTAATCCCAGCCACTCAGGAAGCTGAGGCACAAGAATCACTTGAACTTGGGAGGTGGAGTTTGCAGTGAGCCGAAATTGTGCCATTGCACTCCAATCTGGGTGACAGAGCAAGATTCTGTCTCAAAAAAAAAAAAAAAAAAAAGTAACATAATGCAAAAACAGTAATCCTTGTGAAATTATGTACTTATTGGAGTCTCTCATATTACTATTTAGGTGCTATTTTAAGAATAAAAATTGAGTGCTTAAGTTGAATTGATTTTATTTTTCAGTGATAGAGTTTTTTACACTTTGAATTTTTAAAAGCTGAATTTCTATTTTTATATTCAAATAGTTTTTTAAAGTTAATATTATCAATGGCCAAACATGCTTTATTCAAGGTTAGTTAAATCCTTTACAAAATATTAGAGGTTATGATTATGCCACTGCACTCCAGCCTGGGTGACAGATTACAGGTGGATCATGCCTATAATCCTAGTGCTTAGGAAGACTGAGATAGGAAGTTGACCTGAGGCCAGGAGTTCAAGACCAACCTGAGCAAAATAAAGAGACCCTGTCTCTACAAAAAAATTAAAGAAAAATTAGTGAGATGTGGTGACATGTGCCTTTAGTCCCAGCTACTT